GTTCACCCCACAGGTTTCCCTGGGGTTCAAGTCAGGGGACTGGGATAGCCATGGCAAGGCTTTGATTGTGGTTAGTAAACCATTTTTGTGTTGATTTTGATGTAAGCTTTGGATCATAGCCCTGTTAGAAGATCCAGCCACAGCCTGGTAAAGGTGTTCATTTAATATCTAAACATACAAAATTAAGTTCAGCTCTCAAACTCCCACTACTTCTGGCGGCAGCAATGACTATAGCACACATCAGCCCAAATACATACAATAAAAAAACTAAAGAAAAAAAGTTAATTTCCCAAATCTCTATGGACATTTAAATAACAGGAGGTTTACAGTATCACTCCAATGGCCATTTAAGTGTAAGTTCACCTGCCACGTCAAGGCAAAACCTCTCTGGTGACTCCTACGCTAACAAATATTAATTATATCCCCATTTAATTCTCGGTCTGTCTCTCATATTCCAATTTCATCTTCCTTGGTTCTCTTCAAATACAGTGCAGAGGCGGGCCTGGCAGTGAGGTCAGGTAGTAGGTGATATGAAATTAATTTCCCACACATTTCCATTGAATTCTCACTCTTTGGGGTGGGTATATGAGACGTTACGTTTACCAGACTCCGGTCCCCATAGCTAAAAATCTGGTTTCTTATTAACCATCTGCCAGTTGCAAATTGTGGTGCACATTCAGTGATTCACCAACTCGACTATATAGTCGCAGCTTGGCTTTTTTGCTCTAAATTTTGCAATTTAGTTTTCAGGCCGTTATATCTCACTGCTTAGTGAATAAACCCCATGTGTGTCAGTGCTGGCATAAAACACCAACGCATGATACTCCCCATGTTCAGTTAGTGATGTTGGCTTTTATAATTACCACTGTGCAGGGGGCGGGACTTCCGGTCTCACGGAGCAGCCGCATGGAGTGAGAGCTCCGAGACCGGACCGGACTAAAGCGGCAATTATCACCGGCTAAGGGAAAAAGAAGTGCCCTCCACTATATCCCAAACCTGTGGGGACCTTACCCTGCCGAATGGTGCCCCCAAAAGCACAGCGGGCGTCGGATTGTTTCCGACAAGGTAGGAGGGACAAAACGCGGCCGGAGCAAGATGGCGGCGGCTCACACTCCCCAACACCTGCCTCGGATCAGGGATCCGACACAGAGGCACTGCAGCCTCCCCCTGGGGATATTTCTCTCTCGGAGGCAAAAATGGCGGCAATGCTGCAGGAGCTCCGCTCCTCCACGAAGGAGGACTTACAACTGGCTGTTAATGACATCCGCAGAGAGGTGCACGAGGTGGGGACCCGCTTAAATGCCCTTGAGGAGAAAACTGACGACTTATGCCAGGCCAAATGGAATCGGAGCAAGTGCGCCTAACAGCCAAACTGGCGGACCTCGAGGACCGATCGCGCCGCAATAACATCAGAGTGCGCGGGGTCCCGGAGTCTGTCGCAGGGCCGGATATCCCGGAGTATCTTCGGCAACTCTTCACGGCGATCCAGCCTAGCCTGGAACCAGCTGACCTGCGCTTAGATAGGGCGCATCGGGTACCCAAACCCGCTACGCTGGCACGAGACATACCGAGAGACATTGTCACGAAGCTACACTATTTCAGCGCCAAGGACGCCATACTTACGGCGCAACGAAAATCTACGGCAATGCCACCGGGCTATGAAACGATCTCCCTATTTGCTGATTTGTCTCCTATGACAATAGCGAGAAGAAGAGACTTTATAAATGTCACAAAATGCCTGCGGAACCACAAGATCACCTACCGCTGGGGCTTCCCCACGAAATTGCTGATCTGGAGAAATGGGACCCTAACGAAGCTGGAGGACCCAGACCAGGGCATGCACAAGCTGAAAGCTTGGGGACTCTTCCCGGACCACGCGCCGCCCAACCACCCAGCGACCCCAGGACAAGTGGCCCAGGAGTGGACCAAAGTCCAAAGGAAGAAGTGAATGATTTGTTCGGCCTCTCCCACTGCAACAGACTGTCAGGTCGACTGATGCCATGTGAGGTGAAGACGTCTCCGCCTCAGAAGCGGTAGAGACTCTAGCTGGACTCACCCCCTTTTTCTTTTACTTCGGGGGAAAAGCTTGATTGGTGTTTGCAGTCTGAACCTTCACGTGAGTACATGTGACAGGAGGTGGCCCACAGGACCCCCCCCATAGCTGACACACTGCTACCCCATACGCTGCACTTTAAAGTCTCAGCTATATGCGGCTCCCACCGGCAATGAGGTTGGCCTTAGCCCCTGGTTGTCCCGACCACAACTATTCCTATACAACCCGAGGCACCCTGATGGCATGCCTAGTGGCACGGCCCATCTCACCAAGATGACCAGCTTTACCCCCGCAAACTCGGGTGGCTCCTACACTTGCTGTGCCCATGTTACACCCAACACAAGACCCTCTCCTTCCCTCTATTCATATAGTCCACCACCGGTCATAGACCCTCTCCTTAGAGCCCGCCCCCCCCCACTGCCGAGACAACCCTCTGCGGTGCTACCCCTCCCCACCGTGAGGAGAAAGGTGCACCTGCGGACCAGTCTCCACATAATGCTATTAAGCTTATTGAAATGTATAAACTTTTGTTATGTTTACTGTTTTTTATCCCCATGTTACACTCTACCCTTGAATATGCTTTTAAGGTTATTGGTGAAATTAGGATTAGTTTTAAACATAACCCAGTAAAGAAATCCTAGTGGCTCGCAGGCACAGAGACAGCAGGTAATTCTAGCATTTACTTTCACAGCGATCTAATAAATTATGTTCACTTTCAATGATCTGGTAAGAAGAAGTGCTAGGTTTAAAGCTAGGTTTAATTTTAGTGTTTACAGCTAGAAGACATGGATTAAGCCTGATCTGATTGGGGACAGAGCTTAAAAGGAAACTATAGTGCCAAAAAAAAAAATTGTTTTCCTAGCACTATAGCTCCATATGGTGTCCCCCTTCCTACCTCCCCATGGTGCAGAAGGGGTTAAAAACACCTTCTGTCATCAACCTGAGTCCAGAACCGATGTCCCTCAAAGCTGGTCCGCATACGCTCTTCCCCCATCGACGTCATAATGTCCGCGCTCCCATTAGGACTTCCCCCATAGGAAAGCATTATACAATGCTTTCCTATGGGGTTTTGGGTGACGCTGGACATCCTCATGCATAGCAGAAAGAGCTGAAGTGGTCTGCATGCCTACAGTGTCCTTTTAAGTTTTGGTAGATTTAACAAAGTTCATGAGAGTGACGGCAACTGAAGAAAAATTTAAAGTCCCCTAAATTCTCATGCCCAATAATTTACAGATTTTACTATTAACATGACGTAAAGTCATGATTTTATTAATGACACGGAGGCGAGTATTATGCTGCACTCTTTCTTTATTTACCTCAGCAGCAAAGAAAAATAACATTAAATCAGTATAAAAGAAACCAGTAAATAACATGAGGTATATCTTCCTAGCAACAGCAACAGCCAATCAGCATCCTCTTTATAGCATAATAGGCAGTGTCCAGTATACTACTTCCTCTTTCTTGCGATCCCAAACAAGGACAACAAATCCAAATAAAAAGTGGGCTCCAATTAGAGGGTATACGAGCCTTAAACTGGATCTCGAAGTCAAGCTGGAAGAGAAAAGAGAATATGGTAATATCCAAGTATAAAACTGGATTTATGCATAAATTCGCATTACATGAAATATCAGATATATATATATACACATAACATGAAATTCAGTTTAGTCAAACCTTAAGCTCTTGACAGTCATTAACAAGGATAAAACCCAGTAATCAAAAAAGACTTACCGTGAAGTCAACTTACCCAGAGAAGACCAAATCTCCAGGGATGGGAGGGAGGGATAATACTCGCCTCCGTGTCATTAATAAAATCATGACTTTACGTCATGTTAATAGTAAAATCTGTAAATTTTATTAAGACACGGAGGCTCCTATTATGCTAGTTCAAAGCTGTGAAATTATGTCTCCTGTGAAGTGTTGAATAGGTCTAAAGTAGAAATCATGGAATGTAGACTCCGAAGACCAGCCGCTCTCATAATATGCTCCAAGCGACAACCAATCGAGGAAGCCTTAGAAGCCATTGCCCTACAAATCGAATGAGGCACAGACACATAGGTATCAATACCTGCTAGAGACATAACATATTTGACCCACCAGGCTAGAGTAGACACCGGAAGATGCGACTTTTGGATGGAGATGAAGAGTTCCTGTTTCAAAGGATTCTGTAACGTAGTAGAACGATGTTCACACACCCATTAGTATGCAACAGGGCAAAGGAGAGATCTATCAGGGAAAACTGGGTAAGATAGATTTTAGAGGAGGTTTTTGTCCTCTGTGAAATGTCAAAGAGGACACCTTCTGGAGTAAAGGAACAAGCAACCACCTCACAAGCTCGTACGTCAGAAAAACCTCTTGCAAGAAAGAAAAAAAATAAAAAAAAATTCAAGACAATAGAGACGTCCCACAAGACAGAGTATCGTGGTAAGGGTGAATGAGCAAACCATATTCCTCAGAGAAGTCAATATATGACAGGATGTCAACCGACAGGCGTCCAATCAAAACTTTGATGGCCAGCAGAAATGGAC